TGCTTTAAAAAAATAGCTTCTTTCTGAAATAAAGATACCACCTTAAACAACTAAAATACCACCTTAAAATAATAAAATACCATCTTAAAATACAATCTTAAATGAATAAAATATCACCTCAAATTGTATACCACTTATACAATTAAAAATACTACCCTAAAATACCTCCTTAGATGGATAGAAATAGCACCTTGACATAATATACCACATTGAAATACCTCTTTAAATGAATAAAAATGCCACCTTAAAAAAATAAAAATACTACCTTAAAAATACCACCTTAAATAAAAATACCACCTTAAAATGCTGCCTTTAAAGAAATTAAAATGCCACCTCCAAAATGATTTTAAAAAACACCTTAAAAAGTCGCACTTGAGCAGAGGGCACAGCCAGCCGGGGGGTGAGGGGTTGCAGCTGTGCCCGCTATGCATTTTGCAGCCGCTGGCTCTTCTCTGACCCTTGCTCCTCTGCGGCCAGCCTGGCACGGCTGCCCAATAGCGGCCCTTGTGCCTGCCCGTGGCCTCCTCAGAGCAGGTCGATGGCAAGGCCGGTGGGTTCAGAAAGGGAGAGCGCACGGTGGCCTCTGAGCCCCGTGCAGAGACACAGGGGGCCCAAGCTGGCACTGGCTTGTCAGCAGAGCCAGAGCGCCTTGCCCAGCATGCTGCCGCCCCCACCCATTTCGGGTGCCAAGCAGGCTGGGGACTGGGGCGGCCACACAAATGCCAGGTTCCAAAATTCAACGCAAACTTTACTAGAGAGCCACCTCCCGGACTCAGCCTGAGCCACAACCCCGTTCCCACGCCGCCAACCCCGGCAGAACTGTGCAGCTGGACCACTAAGCACGGGTCTGTCCTCCTGGGCCGGGGAAAACCGGGGCATGGGGGCTTCTCCAGCCCTGGGAATCTGGCAAAGCAGGTGGGCCGCTTCCTAGTGCAAACTGGACCGGGCTCAGGGCCCGGTGGCTCCGGCAGCTCAGGCCGGCAGATCTCTGGCCTTCGTATCTAGGAAGTGAACACTCCCTGGCTGCCCTGCTCTGCAAGCTGAATGCAAACCTGGGAGCTGGGACGCTTGGCGGGGGGCCCCAACGTATGGGATCTAGGACAACGCACACCTGCCTCCCCACCCTGATGCCCAGCCAGGGCTCAGGCGTCCCTGCTCGGCCCGGCCGGGTTAGGAGATGTAGCAGTGAGGGGCAGGAGGTACTGGTACTCCCCTGGTTTGTGATGCGCTTGAGCCCTCCAGCTGCTCAGAGCAAGGGGTGGTTGTTACTGCAAGGTCTGAGCCCCGGAGAGAACGCCCCGACACACACGCTCGCGCGGGCACCACTGAGAGCCGAGCTAGCAGGGAGCCCGTCTGCTCCAGTGCCCGTGGCATTCCAGGGCCGCAGACGGTGCATCAGGTGGCGGGGGCAGCTGCTTGCCCGGGAACTCTCCGGGGGCCGTGTTGTCGCCACGCACCTCTGCCGGCAGCTGGCGTGCCCTGGGAAAGGGGCCGGCCGCTAAGAGCAGCAGCAAACACCTGCTAACAGCCCAGCTCCTACGCGCCGCCGGGGCACTCGTGCAGCCAGACGGCCTGAGGAGAGCCCTGGGAGGGGAGCTTACGCCCAGCCAAGCAGAAAAATACACAGGGCCAGGCCCGGGAAAGCAGGGGGCTGCTGGGGAGCAAAGGGGGCAGCAAGGACACCTGAGCGCACTGGCTCCCCCCATGCGAGGAAGGTTTGTGTGTGAGACACACACAGACGGGGTGGGGGTTGTGTGTCTCAGCAGCTGTAGGTGTGCACGCGTGACTCTGCGCATGTGTCTCCACCCCACCGCTCCTCAGCCAGAGCGTGGCGCCTCTGCCCCCCTGCGGCTTTTGTCTCTGTGTCTTTGCGGGCGTTGGCGCGGAGCGCTGTGCCAGAACACGTGATGTTAGCGTGTTAGGTGGGCATTTCTCTCCATGGCATCTCTGTGCCCGTGTGGGAGGTACCCCGGGGGGATACTGCCCCCTCTTCCATACAGCTCCCAGCTCAGACCCCATCCACCCCCAGCCTCACACTCCCCCAAAGGAGACATCGTTGCTTGGGTGATGCATGGCACTTGTGAAGCCTGGCTCTGAAACGCACCACCTGGACTTTCCTCTGCAGGTGGCCGGCCCAGCTCCGACCCTGGTGGGCACTTCTGAAAGTCGCCCTTTGTCTCGGGCGGAGGGAGGTGAACCAAGTTGGCTGGATCTCAGTCCAGCTCCCAGCAGGACAAGGCAGCCAAACGCCATATCCCTGCAGCAGCGAGGCCAGGGCCGGCTCCGCTTTCCCTTGAGAGACACACGGAAGTTTCCACCCCTGGGCTACCGAGCCAGCCCCTTTCGCCAGCACATCCCTGCTTCAAATCATGTTCTTAAAGCGACACCTGCTGCTTCTGAGCCTGGCGCTGGCGCTGGGCATTTCCAAGCGCCTCTCTCTGGGTCATCTCTTTCAGTGCCCAAAGGAAGCTCTCTAGGGCAGCTGATTGCTAACGCACCAGGCCGGCCCTGCACAAACTGCCGGTGCTCTAACCCTGGTCACCACCCCAGCTACGTGAAGCACCTTCGGGGTGCCGGGGTTCATCGGGGAATGCTCAGAGAACGGCAGGGATCTTTTATCGCCGATATTCTTCTTTCTGCTTTGTCAATAGCCGAGAAACCACAGCCCCACGTGCTAAGGGGGCCACTTTCACCGCGTCTCTACAGGAGTAGAGCAAAAAAATCGTAGCTCGTAGGAGGGAGCCAGATGTACAGAGAAGCAACAGCGCTGCTTTGCATCTCCGTTGACATGGGGAAAATCGGGTGTCACCCCACTCAAGCCAAGGAAGATCGCCCAGGATTAAGGCTAATGTGAAACGAGATCAGAATCTGCCCCTAGTGTTTCATTCCTATCTCACGCCGGTTAAACACAAGCAACTCCATTAGTTTCAAGGCCGACCGTCCGAATACACCCAATGCAAAGGTTAGATCCGATCCTAGATACACATTTAACCCGCAGTGGCTTTTCGTGGCATTCTAATGAGATATTGAGCCACACTGTCAGAGCTGTTCCCATCCGGAATATCAGCAATTTTGTGCCATGTCCTACTGGGCTAGATTTGTGGATAGATTTGGATACAGGACACCTCATGCTCCAGAAAGGCGAAGGATTTTGCATTAAGTGGGGCCATATCTTTTGTGTTATAAATTATTTCTATGGGATGGTAAAAAAGGTATCAAGAATACATGCCAATACATAATGGCAGCATTCTAATAGAGAGATGATACTTTTGTACCATATTATAGAAATATTTTGTAACACGAAAGATATGGCCAGCTTATAGACATAAGATTTATATTATGTAGAGATAATATATAAATCAAATAAATATATATATGCAGTTTTGCTGAAATCTAAACTTTTCATGAAAATGTCAATTTCAATGACATTTTTATGAGAAAGTGTCAAAACGAATCAGTTCAAACTTTCTTGTTTCATTTTAATAATCCTGAAACGTTTTCTTTCAACTTTTTTCCCCTTCATGTCATGTTGGCTTTTCTATTCTATTAAAATATTAGATTTAATACTGTAGCATAATGTTTCAACATTACCAACATGAAACCTTATCGAAATTAAACAATTCAACATTATTTAACCAGAACATTCTCATGTTCCTGAACTGAAATTTTTTGGCCTTTCTGCACCACAAGACATTGCAAATGTCCAACTTTTACATTCTGATTCAGAACGAAAACAACTTTTGGAACGTCAGAACTTCCCGCCGAAGGAAAATTCTGTTTTTCAGAGCGCTTTAATTTCTCTCTCTCTGTCTCTGTCTCTCACACACTCACAGCTTTTGTCTCAGCCTTGTGATCTGTATTAGATCACTGGAGTAGATTCCAGGGGCAGGATCTACCGTATCGAATTCCTGGTCCATTTACCGCCACACTCGTGGGTTTGAATTGTGCCGGCGTTCTCATGCCGGATTGGATTCTCACAAGAAGCATGGCAGCATTGTTGTCTGCCATGGGTTTTTCAGGTGGCGATTTCATATCTGTAGTCTGCGTTTTGATCAGCGGCTGCTGCTACCGCCTGGGCTCGTAGGCGGATTTAGTGCATCAAAGCCACGGAGCGTGTGGACCATACCGGCAGGGTACTGGGCTATATTTTTAATTTGCCATGCGCAGCATTATTGTGGCTTATTCATGTACGTGCCCAAAGGTATACTTGGAACTTTAGAAGGCGAAAGGTTCTACCTTAAAGAACCTAATAGCCTGACCCTGCAAACATTTCCCACCCGGATTGATGGAACTCCTCACCCAGGAAGCACTACACCTGGTAGGAAGTGCTGGATCCCTAGGGACCGGCTTAAGTTCGGGATGATATTAACGCCGTGCCTTTCTGTACACCTGGCAAAGACAGAGCCTGAATCTGCCATGCTCCTGCACTCCAAAGCCACCTCAGTGGCATTCAGGCGTCCCACCCTGCCTGCCAGCACCGGCCTGCTGCAGCCAGATGCGCCCGCGAGGGTGGCGATGGAAGCTACCTTGCTCTCCCACCATGCTGCCGGCGTGGCTCAGGCCTGGCGCTGGCGCGCCGAGCGGCTGAAGTTAGCCCTGGATGGAATGGGCTGATCGTCAGGGAGCACCCACTGATGGCAACGGGAGCCGCAGATGCTCTGAAAACCAGCCCATTTTATTCAGGTGTCTCACTCAAAGCCCCCAAGTTCGACCTACGGAAACCCAGGGACTGGTGCTCAGAAGGGCATCACCCGCTCAGGTGGGGCCAGAGGGCCAAGCGGCTCCAAGCTCCCAAACCAGCAGAACCCGCCTAGCTCGGGCCCTGCATCTTCAGAAAATCCAGCCATTACGTGAGATTCAGGAGAAACCCGGCCCTTGCTTAGGAGCCGACGGGGAGCAGGCTTCTCTGGAAGATTCAGCCCTGACTGTAGAGGCTGGGAAATCTGGCCCCAATGGGGCCTTTTCCCCAGACATCTGAGCATCCACAAAGCCCAGGGGAGTCACTCCACCCTCCCCAGATCCAGCCCACGGTGCTCCTTGGACAAGACCACGCTGAGCCAGTTCAGCTGCGAAGTCCGGAGTTAAGGCAATTTACACGAGTGATCTGAAATGTACGCAGTGGTGTAACCCGTGGCATACGCCCAACACAGGGTCCGTGTGCACATGCAAACACACCCACTCGGGCCAAACTGGAAAGAAGCCCAGAAGAGCCCCACAAAGGGATCCGGGGGTCAGAAAAGCTGACGGAATTGGGCTTGTTTAGTCTGGAGAGGATGGAGGGGGGCTGATAACTCTGCCCATAGGTGAAGGGCTGCTATAAAGAGGACGGGAATCAATTGTTCTCCACGGCCACTGAGGGCGGGACAAGAAGCACTGGGCTTCATCTGCAGCGAGGGAGATGGAGGTTAGACATTCGGGAAAGCTACCGGAGCACTGCCCGGGTGACCGAGGCCCTGGCAGGGCAGGTTTTTAAGAGCAGGGCAGACAAACCCCTGTCAGGAACAGGTTTATTTGGTCCTGCCTCGGTGCGGGGCCATGGGCCAGGTGATCTCTCGAGGTCCCTTCCAGCGACGAGCACACGCAGGTCTAGGCACACGCGGAGACCCTCAGGGCAGATCACCACTGCAGCAAAAGGGGTGTCCTTAACTCAGGTGAAAACCGCAGGGAAGGTGCAGCAAGGGAGCTTTTAACTCGGGTTCACGCCTAGGGCGACCAGACAGCAAGGGTGAAAAATCGGGACGGGGTGAGGGGTAATAGGCGCCTACATAAGACAAAGCCCCAAATATCAGGACTGTCCCTATAAAATCGGGACATCTGGTCACCCTATTCACACCTACAGGGCGGATTGGGGTTGAACATAAGCTGCCACGTCTTCCCGGCTATTTTAACCCGAGCTAAGAACACACCTTTGGCTGTCGGCAGGGACGCCCCTCCGAGATGTCTCCCTCCCCTTCCTCCTGGACACGCGCCCGCTGAGGATCTGGCCCTGGGAGGCCGAACTGGCTGCTGACTTTGGCAGACCCTTGCTCTGTGCACAGTGCGTGTTGCTGCAAGGTACAGAGCCGAGGAGTTAGACAAAGCGGCCGCACAATCCACTGTCACCATCTCAGCCCCACAATAAAAGAGAGCAAGCGCTGTAGCCCTCCGTGGCACGGAGAGGAAGGGGTTAACACCCAGCTCTCGATCTTAGCAAATGGCTCCCCAGATCTGGTGATTTTCTTGCAGCCCCAGCTGCTGGAGTCATGTGAGGATGCGGGAATTGCAGGATACACATCATAGTCACAACCTAGTGCTTATCTAGGGCTTTGAGGCCACAGATCTCGAAGCTCTTTACAACGGAGGCAGGATCGTTAACCTCCATGTTACAGATGGGGAAACTGAGGCACAGGCAAGTTTAATTATTTTTACTTCCAGAGAGAAAAGCCAACAAACCCAGCAGTGAGGCCAGTCCAGGGCTGAGAGCTCCTTGGGGACTATCAGGGAGGGAGTGGCCTGGGGTTGGGGCAATCCACTCTGCTCCCCCAGCTCATCAGCCCCGGGAGTGGCCCAAGGGGTATCAACTAAGAGCAAAGGGCTGGACAGAGCGGTGGTAGCAGGCTGCAGAACGGCCTATTACGTGAGACACTGACCCAGCCCTGGGCATCTCACCAGAAAAGAACCAGCAGGGGACAATCCGGCGCTGGCCAAGCCAATCCAACAGGTCTTTGCACGCTCGAAGCAGCAGTGCCCCGAAATACGACGCTCACCAGGCAAATTCCCGTCTCCTGGCACTGCGAAGAAAAACAAGGCTCCCTTGGCTATTTTTACAATTCGATGGATTTTTAAATTTAGCTGCCTGCTCCCAAGTGCTGGCTGGGCCTTTTAAAGACTTTGTCGTTTTTGTCCTTTTTCCTGGAAATTCACGCGGTGATAACACAGCATTCTCTCCACCCCCGCAGCCGGCTGAAGAATCAGGGATACAAATAGAATCTCAGGGCAGCCACCCCTCGCGATTTTATGGTGAGTCTTGCCATGGCTGGTGTTTCTCTAAAAGCCCCAGCTGCTGGAGTCACGTGGTGATGTGAGAATCAAAGCTTTCATGACAAGTAAACTATAACAGGACTATTAATTCCCTAGCTCTTATCTCCCACTTTTCACCTGGCAATCTCTATGCGCATTACAAAGCAGCATTGTCCCCATTGTACAGTGGGAAAACTGAGGCACAGGAGGGCAAAGTGACTTGCCCAAGGTCACCCAGCAGGCCAGTGGCAGTGCCGGGAACAGGTCTTGGGAAAAGTTCACCCAGTCCCAACTTGGTCGGAGAGCAAACAAAGGGAACCCCCGATTTAGTATTTCTTAACATCATCGATTCTAAGGGGCAGACAGGACCCACATTGAGCCTGTCACTTCTAGCTGCGGTGTTGCCAATGATCTCGCTATACTGGGTGGGTGTTTTTAAATCCCCAGCTCCTGGAGTCCTGGGATAAAGTGAGGCTCTCAGCTTTCATCTAACAAAAAACAGATGTTTCTAGGCCTTGTCAGTGCAGAGAAGAGCTTGAAAATGTGAATTGGCTGCCGCTGTAAAGGCCCAACCCCAAAGGGAAAGAAAAAAACCCTCCACTTAATTATTTTTAAAGAAATCTCATGATTTTAACGCCAGTCTCACAATTTTCTGCTGGGGAGCCCGGCGGCTGGGGCTGGGGCTTCAGCAGAACTTCCAGGGCACTTCTTCACTACCCGCCGATCCGGCGGGTAGCAATCGGTCTATCGGGGATCGACTTACCGCGTCTAGTGAAGACGCGATAAAATCGATCCCTGATGGCTCTACCGTCGACTCCAGAAATCCACCGCGGCAAGAGGCGGTAGCGGAGTCGACGGCGGCGTGGCAGCGGTCGACTTGCCGCCGTCCTCACAGCCAGGTAAGTCGACCTAAAATATGCCACTTCAGCTACGCTATTCACGTAGCTGAAGTTGCATATCTTAGGTCGACCCCCCGCTGTAGTGTAGACCTAGCCTCAGAAACATGGCCAGCCAGGACTGGTTTTAAACATCTTGTTATTTTTTGCAGGCCTGACTCATGACTTTTGATCACTTGGTGCAGAGGACACAGGAGTTTGGGGCCCAGTCTCCGGCTCTCCCCTCCTGATCTCAGCGGCGCTTGCTTTCCACGTATCCAGAAGTACATTCCACCCGCTAATGATTTATCAGCATTGGTTATAAATAGGCTTGGCAGAATTCCGTTTTTTGTATCATTTTCGATAGAATATGAATGTTTATTTTTAAGCCTTTTTTCTATTTTTTATCAAGTTAAATGTTCAGAGTTGTGCAAAATGACGAGTTTTAGCATTTTTCTTTTTGTATTTTCATCCATTTAAATTTTCAGAGTTGTGGGAAATCAGGGGGGACAATCGGGGGGGGGAGCCCAATCAATAATTATATAATGACAGGAGACGCTAAGATTCAAAGAGTTAAAGCTTTCTAACCGTTAAAACACAAACTGTCATCACCATAATCCACATCTCCAAAGTAAATATCCTTAAAGAAAACTTTCATATGTTCTCACGCAGCCGTCCTCGTACTTGGCCTCGCTGCCAATTTCGAGGATCGTCGACAGAAACATTTTTTCTGCGAAATCGACGCTTACCGACACTTGCTGATAAAAGTCAAATCCTTCCAAGTCTAGTTGTAAGCCACAGCGGCAAGCGCCCACACGGCCGCAACCCATTCCTCTCGTGCCCCCAGGAGCTCTCAAATCCAGCGACCCGACTTCGATATTTTCGTTAACATAATTAAACAAGAAAAGAAAACTAGCTTGGATTCAGGAAAGAATAAAGCAAGCGGTTAGGGATAGAGAGCAGGACAAAAAATCAAACCACAATTAATCTAATTTGTGTCAAATATAATTAATAGAAACCAACCCCCCAGGTAATTCTATTAATGCAATAATAACACTGCTCATGTTAGTAGCATGGATCATTTTTCCCCAGGCATTTGAAATTTATGGGGTAATTGCAGCTGAGCAGGAGAGGGATTTCTGCTGGATTATCTAAAATTGCAGCACTTTTGATGCATTTTGAAGTCATGTCACTGGCACCTGGAGAATCTGGAGGGGCATATTTGGTAAATCTAAAGGCGGGAATCAATGCAAGTCCTATAACGATCCGTACTGGGGCCAGTCCTGATGAGCTACGCCTGCACAGATCTGGACGGACGCTGCTATCCAATTTACACGTGTCGCAAAGTGCAGGAGAACAAACCAGGAAGGCATTAAAATCCGACGATGTTACATGAGTGCCAATGAGAACAAAACAGGGAAGGAAGTTTGTATCTCTTTAATTCTGCCCCCAGTCAAGAGACCCACACCAGCTCCAACAAGCTGCAAGCCACTGGGAAAGCGCGTTCATGTTTAATAAATATTACCGCTCGTTTCTGACTCATTGGTTCCTGCGTGCGAGAAGGGGCAATCGGGGACAAGGGGGTTTCTCGGAAGGGCTGATCGGGATGGAGCCGCAGACCCAACCCACGATCAACGCTAATTTCTGAGTAAATACCCCACTGGACATTAAAAGGGACCAAGCCAGACTTTGATTTGCTAAGATCAAACGTGCCTCTGTCCTCATCGGCCCTTTGGAGAATCCGGTTCAGCGTCTCTCCGCCACGGCCCCAAAGCTTCCAGAGCCAACAGCCGGGCGAAAGGCGAAGCAGAAAAGCTTCTGGAAGCAGCATGGATTAGTGGGCCTGGATCTGGGCACCCCCCAACCTCAGCCCATGAACCAGAGGCTTGGGCTTAGGATCTGAATTCTGCAGCTTCGTCCCGTTTTCTCATTAGAATCTAGAATTGAGTCAAAGGATCAGCGATGGGGGAAGGGGAATGAGCCCGTAACAGGTCGTTTGGTTTCTCCAAGCAACTGAGGGGGCTGGGGACACGGAGCCCTGGGAACCCCCTGGGTGGGGCCCGTTGGATCCCTCCCCATTCCCCCTCCCCGGATTTCGCTGCCTCCCCAGAACGGGAACGGGCAGAGCACAAACAGTAGGGAGAGCTCAGTAAAGCTTAACCAAATGTTCTCAACACAAACCACAGGTCCTGGGGTGCGGGTCCATTGGCATCCCGGGTCTGGTCCCTTTCCCCAGTAACATTCCCGGAGGCTGAAGCCAGCAGCCAGGGTCAGCTCAGAGTTGGTAGGAGGAGATCTCCCTGCACAAGGGCAACGGACGGGTGGGCCCGAAGCTGCGGCTGCGGGAGGAGAGATGCTGGGTCACGGGCAGCCAAGCCCCCCACGCAGTGCTGACGGCCACGCGATGGAGAGCAGGGCACCCGGGCCAGCTGCGCCGGCTGCATTCTGTACCGGGCTCAGCGCCGTGGCAAGCGAGCGCCATGCTGGCCTGCGGCCCGGCCCCACCCTGCCGAGACACGGGGCAGGACAGCGATCCCCAGAAGGGCAATTCCCTGCCCTGCCTCTCAGGCTGTATCGCTGCCAGGCCGCAGGGGGCAGGGGGGCGCCTGCCGCTTCCTTCCAAGGCCCCTGTTCTCCACAGTCCCCAGACGCTCCGCACACAATTGACCCTCCCGGCCACCCCAGCAGGGGACTGACCCCACCACAGTCACTGAGCAAGTCAGTGACACAGCAGGAAAAAGCCTAGTATTTCCCCCCCACTGCCAGATCCGGGAGAGGACCCAGGAGTCCTGGCTCCCACCCCCCGCCCCCCCTCCGCCCCCCCCCACTCCCAGAGCTGGCAGAGAACCCATGAGTCCTGACTCCCAGTCCCCGCCCCGCTCCTCAGCCCCGCCCCCCCTCAGAACCCCCCTCCTCCCAGAGCGGGGAGAGAAGCCAGGAGTCCTGACTCCATAGCCCCCTGCTCTACCCAACAGACACCACTCCCTCCCCTCTGAATAGTAGTAGATGGCTCCGCCCCAGCCGGGCCGTCACTTTGGGCTGAGCACCGATTATTGGGTTTCGTTACCAAAACTGCAACCTCTGTTCTAAGCAGCGCGGTTCTAATGAGCCCCCCGAACACACCAAAGGCTGTTTGGTTCCCCCGGGCGGTTCTCGTCACCATCTCCAAGGTGGCCACGCTAATGCAGCGTTCACCAAGTTCCACGTTTCTGGAGGCGCTGCAAACTGGTCATTTCAAAACCGACAAGCGGAGCCCCACTCGTCTGCCTGCGCCGCAGCCAGGGGCACAGGCCGAGAGCGCCGGCTGTGGAAAGTGGGTCGGGGGGGGGCTGGATCGGGGTCCAAAATCAGAAGGCGCTTTTCCCCAAGCTGCCTCTGCCCTAGGTATCACAAGATGGCGGCAGCGTCTCCGCCGAGAGCCCCCGCGCTACCTTTAAAGATGCCCGGTGCCAGGCACCGGATTGCAATGACTCCTTCCCAGCACCCAACTACAGAATCCCAAACCGCCAGGCCAAGGCAGCCGCTTGCCGCTCGTTTTCCAGGGGGCTCTGTGGACACTGGCCAGGCCGCGCCAGGAATGTTACGCCGGGAGCCGGGGGGTCAGGACAGGGTGTCCCTGGGGCCGTGGTGGCGTCACACCGCGTCCCACGCTGGGTACAGAGTCATGGCTGGCTGGTAGAAGGGTGCGTTGGCATCTCCACTCCCCAAGCCTGGCCATTATGCAGGCCGCCCGCAGCCACCCTGACATACAGCTCCCAGATGGTGGGCAAAGTGGAGTTCCCCCGGGCGGCGTTTTATTTACGCCGGGGCTGGCCCCCGTATGAACGGGCACAGCTGGAGGGATGGTTACCTAGGCAGCGAGTCTCCCAGGAGCGTAGCTGGGACACACAGAGATGATCCACTTCTCATGTGGGGACCGTGGAGGGGAGGTTAGTTCCCCCACATCCTGGGGTCACCTTGAACCCATGGGCAGCGGGTCTGGAGCCCCGGCGGCTAGAAGGCCTGGGATCAAGGGACAGGACTTGTGGAGATGCCGGCCGTTCACACCCAGCGGGGACGCCCAGACTCAGAGCCCTGGAACAATCAGGTGCCGAGTCCCTGGCCACAGGACACGGCCGGCACAAGGGGGGGTCCTCGGGCAACTGAACAGTGACAGACCCGGCCGGCGGGACAACATCAAACTGGGACCCCTGGGGGCTTGAGAAAGTCAAACTCACTTCTCTGTTCCGCCCCCGGGGCTAGATCCCCCCCCTGCAGACAGCCTAGCCGCACTTCCCAGCAACAGGCCTGGGGGCGTTCTGCCCAGGAGCGCGGCCATCGGCCCCCAAACAAACCCCACAGGGTGAGACTCCAAACCAGCGCCACTGGCTGGCACGTGGGCCTGGCTCTTCACCCCCGCTGGGCGGCTGGAACTGCCTCTGATCTCACTGAGCTGGCCTGGGGCTTTCGTGCCGGTCATTAGCGGAGGTTAGAGGCCGCGATCCTTACGGTTAATTTCACGGACGCGGAGCAAACGAAGGAAGCGACTGGGTTAGTTCCCTCCGGCGGGTGCCGGAACCTGCTCTCCCGACCCGGAAAACCCAGATCCCCACACTTCCGGCACAGGACGCTGAGCTGCAGCTGCAACGCTCTCCCCTTACCCCCGGTCCCGTTGATTCCCGCGCCCCCCGCTGCCCCCCTCCATCCTAAACCCAGCCCCCCTCCCCCCAGCCCAGCGAGGCCCGGAGAGAGGCACTGGTCCAACCGGCTGGACGGCCGACCCGGGGGCGAGGAAGAGGAGGGATAACCCCCCCCGGGGCAGATGGGGAGGTGCAGAGCCCTGTCTCGCGCTGGGAGGGCTCCCCCGGCACAGCCGGCCTCCCGCCTGCCTTGGGAAATGAAAACAAACAAGGAATAAAAGACGGCTTTTGTGGCGCGGTGTTGACACGGCCGGGGCCTGTGAAAGGACCTTTCAAACTGGGCACCTAGGCAGGGAAAGCAGCCGAGCCCTGGCCGGGCAGCTGGCGCATCACACGTAGCGGTCAGGCCTGGGGACCATCGCACTGAGAGCTGCAGCCAGTGCTGTGCCCGGTGCCCTGCCAGACTCTGCCCGCCCTGCGCTGGTAGCAGCCTCTAGCTGTGCCCGGTGCCCTGCCAGACTCTGCCCGCCCTGCACTGGTAGCAGCCCCTAG